TCAAGTTATGGAGAAGCAGCAGGTATTTCATCGTTCTGTTCCACTCTTGTCTCTGCAACGCCTCCACAGCATCTCTCACATCACCAACAGCGACAGTAGAACCAAATCTCAGGAACTAATGAAAGTAGGGGTTTTGAGAAAGGAACAAAACAAAGTTAGTGAATTCAGTTCAGTGTTTATTGTTAAAAATATATCTGTTGTTTGTTTTTAGCTTTCTTCCTATATGGAAAGTTTTTCAAATTTTGAAACGTATCTACTGGGCCAGAAAGCAATGGTTCATGTTAAAATAAACATTTGGGGTAAATTTGTCGCTACCAGGTTTTTCTTGTGTTTATTGTCAAGTTGGTCTTAAAATTTTAATTTAAGTGGCATTAAAAAGTCTTGAATTTAACTCACCTTATGCTGTAGGAACCCTGCTACCTCTTTCTGCTTGTACCTACCAACAATGCAAACGGTCCACCATTATAATGAAGTTCTCTATCCTTTTGAGTCTCAAGAAAAATGTTGGAAACGGCAATAACATTTCTGGATATTATAGTTGGATTGTATAATTTCAATAGAACTTTTTATTAGGGATGGGCGATATGGACTAAAAAATTTATCACGATAATTTCTAGGTTTTACCACGATAATGATAAGTGACGATAAAAAACAAAACAAAAACACAATATCAGCCTAATGTATCAAACCAATCAAACAAGCCTGAAATATGACAACAAATTTCACATTTATTTAGATGCTACACAGCAAATATAACTTGGCTTATAAAAGTTGCAAAGCAGTGCAACTGTAAATACAACCTGATAAATTGAGAAACAGAACTTAAAAGTATTTCACTGAAAATTAAAACTAATCAGTAATCACCTCCTACTTTAAATAGATGTGTAAATTACCAGTTGCTGGAACATGCCATATATTGGATAAATAAATACCAGTGCAAGTTCCTACATACATTACACTCACTTCACTAAAAATAAAATTCAAATGTTATGTCAACCTCTAACAACCTTTTTTTACTGTTGGGCTACAAAAATGTGCAAATGGCATGATAAATAAAGGGGAAAAAAACAGAAAAATCTAAATACTAAAATAGAAATAAATGATTTCAATGAATTCCAACAAACATGTAAAACCTGAAATACTACTTTGTGCAAGAATGTACAAATAAGACTAGCAGGATCGTCAGCATGCTAAACAATGAAATAAAAATAAATAATTTCAATAAATTTAAAAAGAATATAAAAACTGAAATACCTCTCTGTGCAACCCTCCTTCTCCACAGATTGAAGCGGCAACATATCTTTAGCCAGGCAAAATGCAACGGCCTCTGTTAACTCTTTCCATCGCTTCCTTTGGCTGTCATATGGTGTTAAATGAGTTTTGTTTGAGTGGCAGTCGGTTTCTTAACAAAGGTTTTCGAAGTAGAGTCTTCTGCTGCATCGCTGCGCATCTTCTGACTAGCATCATATTCCGGTTTGTGTTTGTGTTTTAGGTGGTGAAATAAATTGGTAGTGTTGCTGTCCTTTGTCGTCACAGGTTGTCTGCAAACTTAGCATATTACTACTTTCTGCTCCGTATCAGACTTTTTAAATCCAAACCAGTTCCAGATAACGGAGCTGGAGCCTCTTTTAGGAACCAGGTCTTGGGGCGCGTCTCCTCCACCTTCCGCCATGCTTGTTGTTTGCGCATGGCTCGCACGTGAGTTGGACTGCAGGTGTGTCACGCGCAGTATACGTCACCGGTGGGAGTTTATCGTTTTTATTGCGAGATGACAAATTGTTACCATGAGGAATTTCTTTGATGATATATCGCACACGATAACATATCGCCCCTCCCTACTTTTTATTGTAATCAGATTCTGGTCCCTGTTTGGACGGGAGGATAAATTATGGATTATGACCTCAGATCCAACCAGTATTGTTTCTGTTTTTGTGATGTGGGGTTTTTCTTCCACAGTATAGGCCATTATAAAGAGTTTTTTTTTTTTTTTTGATTCAGATTTTCTATTGTCTTTCAACTTGTTTACTTAATTTGCCATTTTCCTTTGCCACTAGAAAACCTTAATTTACCCATTTTAGGGAAATAAAGAGTTGTTGTTGAGTCTATAGATTAATTTATGCTCTTAACACGACTAGAACAAACGTCCAAACACCATCATCTGCATTTCATCAGATTCTGGTGTTTAGCATTTTATTTGATTTTGGTGCATCAAAAGATTGTGGGAAATGCTTGACAGACTGCTTGGATGATGCAAATAAATTTCCCCTTGTTGCCCTCCATCTCCCTAACTTTTTTTTTTTTTCTTAACCATGTCTCCATTATCAGGTGTGATAGCAGCCCACAGGATTACAGCCAGCTCCCCAGACACAGACCTGCCCACAGTGACGGGGCTGAGGGTGAGAAGTTTATACTTAGCAATTCCATGTTTTGAAAAGCAGAACGCAGGTAAAAGTAAAGAAAGTTGTGGACTGTGAAGACCTTCTGCTATATCATCAGAAAATGGGGGTGAATCTGACTACCAGCAACAAAGAAGCGGTTAACAGGAGCGACGTGCTGTTCCTGGCTGTGAAGCCCCACATTATCCCCTTCGTCCTGGATGAGATCGGACCAGACATCGAGGACCGTCATCTCATCGTTTCCTGTGCAGCAGGTGTTACCATCAGCTCCATAGAAAAGGTAAAGCTAGCATTATCCTTATTATCTTAGGTTATTATGTTCAAAAAATTTTTTTATTTTACAAATAATTATCTTTAAAATTAAACCTCTGCCTTCTTTCTGTTGAAAACATCTCTGCTTTCCTTCTTCAATTTTGCAGAAGCTGCTTCAGCACCGTTCAGCTCCTCGAGTCATGAGATGTATGACTAATACTCCGGTGGTGGTGCGGGAGGGAGCGACTGTGTACGCCACTGGAACCCATGCTGAGGTATGTGAGAGCATTTAGGAAACAAGATGAATTTCTCTAATTATTGTAGACAAGTGAAGTTGAACTTTAAAATCCACCGATATTATACATCTGGGGGTATCTCAGGTGGAAGACGGTAAGCTGCTGGAGCAGCTGATGGCCAGCGTTGGGTTCTGCACTGAGGTGGAGGAGGACCTTATCGATGCTGTAACTGGACTGAGTGGCAGTGGACCCGCCTATGTGAGTGAAGTCCCCATTTTTGTATTACTGTGGAAGAATCCACTGTGAGGCCTGGATTGGGGGGGGAATCTTCTTGATTTAAAGATCTGACTTGGATTTACTTCATATCTGTAAGATGCTGTTCTTGAAATTCTCTGGATTATAAAGAGCAGAAAGCTGCTGCCTCTGTTTCCCCGTGATCTAGAATTTGATTTATTGTCATGGAAAGATTACAGTCCTTGGTAAAACTCTTCCATCCTCTCAATGATAAATGAATCATTATCATTGGCATAAAAGGAGTAAACATTCAGTGTAAAAGTCTATTAAGTTTCTTTCAGGTGCCGTCAAGTCTCTAACAGGTTTAAATGTTACTTTGGGTTATGATTATATAACCAACATCTTTTTAATTAAGTGTTGGGTGCATAAGTTTGAATTTATTTGGGATTCATTGTGTTTCACATGGGGCTACAGGCTCAACTACTATATATGTTGGGGAATTGATCTTAGATATGGGCTTAGAGAAATTTTATTGTAATTTTTGTTTACACAGAGTGTGTGCAAAACAAATTTTGATGTAACATTTCGATTTATATAGCTTTTCAACAGTGAATGAGCAGTTTACAATAAAGAAATGAAAATTACCATTTTTAAAGTGCAGCAGTGATCACAAATGTAAACAGTGTAGGAGGAAAGGAAACCACTTAAAAAAATAATAGTGCAAAAGGCATTGCTATGGAAAGGTTCAGTGCAGTGCAAAATTAATATGGTGCAAAATGCAGTAGAAAATTGAGTTTTGTTCTATTGAAAGGCATTGTAAAAAATCAGCCACCTTGGTAGTGCAAATATGACGTTTACAAGTGTGATACAGAGTCGAGATCAGAGATTCAATAGTCTGATGGCAGCGGGGAAAAGCTTTAGCAGAACCTGCTGGTCCTGCAGTGACTGCCGCGAATTCTCTACTTAGGCCTGTCGCGATAATCAATAAATCGATTAATCGCACGATAAATAAAAACTATCCATGTCATTTAATTTATCGGCTATATCGTTTCTGCATGTGTTTTTTTTTTTTTTCTTTCTATTGATGACGCTGGATAAAAAGGCTTAACTCTGGTGCGTTCCACTGACCGCTTCCCTTCCTCGTTTTTTAGGAAGGGAAAAAATGAGGAGAAGTGTACTATCGCATCAGGTAGTCAGCGCGCATCATTTTGTACTTCTGCAGCTTTAGAGCCCCGTGAGGAGTTAGCCAGGTAAAAAAACAAACACATCTTATGTTGGTGGGAAAAGCTAGAAATGGAACTGGTTTCAAAGCCGAACGCAACTGCCGCAGTGTGGGAGTATTTAGGTTTCAAACCAAATGACTGAGGTGAACCGCTGAACCTATACGAGCCAGTATGTTGCGTTTGTCATAAAACAGTTGCAACTAAGAGCGGCAATACAACCAAACCTTCACATGCACCTAAAGCACAACCGCTCAGCAAAGTTTCTCCAGCTGGGGACAAAAAGTACAAGCGGTGGCCTGTCTGCGTCTTCAAGTTTGCGACAGTCCACCGTCACTGAAGCAAGTAATCGCCAGGCAGCATACAAAAAGGACGGCGCAAAGTGGCACGCGCTCACAGACAGCGTAGTTCATTTAATTGCTAAAGAGATGCTCCCATGTAATATTGTTGAAAAGCAGGCATTTTGAAAAATGTTGCAGACATTTGATAGACAGGATGAACTCCTGAGGAAAACATGCATATCACAAACGTTATATGCTGTACATCCAAGGTTTTTATTTCCACTGGTTTTATTTTGTGTAGTTTTTATTCAAGTGTATTTTTTGTTAACAGAGACTGAGAGTCCATTTGTTTTTTATTTCTCCTTTTATTTTGTTAACCAGTTCCAGTGTTAAGTGTTGTCGTTAATAAATTGTGTTTATCTTTGGCTGGAAATCTCATGCATTATTACATCATTTCAATTAAATCAGTGTTAAATGGTCTTCAAACAATATTATCTTTTATCGCAATAACTTTTGAGACAATTAATCGTTCAGCAAAATTTGTTATCGTGACAGGCCTACCTCTACTTCAATTTTATTTTATTCTTTTAATACACATATTTCAGTAGAACGGGCAGGAAATGGGTTTATTTAATCTGATGGGGACAGTTTGGCTGAGATGGTTCAATCCTCATCACTTTTTGAGGGGTGGGATCTCAAACATGTACCAGAACTGGTTTAGGACCTGATGAAGCAGGCTAACCTTCAGCTTGTGGAACAATCCTGGCCTCAAGCCTGTTGAATGTTTGTGGACTGTGTTGAAAAGCCAGGTCTGTGCCAGGAAACTAACCAGTTTAAGTTCTACAGACACAGCCAAGAACGGAGGTCACATATCCTGTGAGAACGACACCAGATGGTGCCTAAAGATCAACATATTCTGAGACGATCACAGATACCCAAAATAAAACAAAATTATTTCTACGACTTTACCCTCAGCAAGTTCACTGCTCCAAAAATGTTCATTTCTCCCTTTAGAGCAAAAAAAATCTTTGTGTTTACCGTAATCAGTGCTAATCCTAGTTTGTTGGGAAGGAAGACAGTAAGGTGATTAGTTTGGTTAGTCTTGATCTGTCTGTGTTTGGTGCGTCAGCATTAGCTGATGGAGTTTTGGTTACAGCAGCTGGTAGCAAAACAAATGAACAAATAGTTAGGAGGCAAGTTTCTACATGGGAAGTCAAAAATAAGTAAATCTCTTTTTATTCCCTTAAAAAAAAAAAAAAAGATATAAGCTGCAGAATCCTGTGTGATGAATAACAAAGTTTCTGCTGCCTGTGACATTTCCTCCCATAAGATGATTCAGAAATGCGTAGTGAGAAGAAAAACAGATGAATAGATTTACTTTTTTTTATACTTCAAGTGTTTGTTAAAAAGCAGGAGGGAGCTCAGCTTTTGGTAATAATTTATTATTACCAAAAGCTGAGTTTTTGCTGCTTCACCTAAAGGAGAACAAATCATGTTTTGTCTGGTTGTTTGTCTTTAGTGAAAGAAACTGCATTTTAGAGGGTAGTGTAAAGAGTAAACCATCTGCACAGATGAGCGTCAGATCTTTGAATGCAGTGTTTGAAGGTGTCCAGTGTTCTCAGTGGTTCTGTGCTTTCTAACCAGGCCTTCACAGCTCTGGACGCTCTGGCGGATGGAGGAGTGAAGATGGGTCTGCCCAGGAGGCTCGCTGTCAGACTTGGAGCTCAGGCTCTCTTGGTGAGTTCTGATGTTTGAGCCTGATGGGTTTCAATGCAGGTTTGTGGAGAATAGCCACATACAACCTGAGTGATGACAGGAAACTTCCCCAGAGATATAATACTTAAGAGAAACTATTGTATAATAGGTTCTGGCTTGGAATTAAAATATTTTTTTTTTCTAGTTTTTGTTTTGAGGGGATTTTGGATATTTTATATTTTTTCACAATGATAAAATGTAGAAACCCTCTTCAGCATGTATTATTCCTTTCCCTGTTTCTCATCAGGGTGCAGCCAAGATGCTGCTGGACTCTGAGCAACACCCTGGCCAGCTGAAGGACAATGTATGCTCACCAGGGGGCGCCACCATCCACGCCCTACACTTCTTGGAAAGCGGAGGCTTCAGAAGCCTCCTGATCAATGCTGTGGAGGCTTCATGTATCAGGACCAGGTAAAGCTTTTTTACTTGAATGCTAATTTAAACTGTTCTGTTACAATGTTCATATCCCTGCTTCATTTGAAAATGACGCATAAACTGCTCCATTTTTCTTGCCCCACAAACTCTGATGTGTTTTAATGGGAGTCTATGTAACAGACTAGTGCATCAGCATACATGTTTTTCAGTAGAACCACCCCAGCCTGTGTGTTGTCTCCTCCATCTTTATGCGTCCTAGACTAACCTGCTTGGTCTAAAAATAAGTCAAACTGGTTTTTATTATAGATTTTTACACATGGATATGCTTTAATCCACTGCCCTGCAACTTTTAGGTATTTCCCTGCTCCGACACAACTGAATGAATCCATTATCTCCCTGGGTACTGATTTGTTTCAGGTTTACTGGAGCAGGGATGCAGTAGATCTCAAGGACTGGGAGTTGGAGACCCTTGCTTTAGACATAGACGAATTTATTTGGTCATTTTTTGTACATACAAGTGCCTTTGAGATGACATGTGTTGTGAATTGGCGCTATACAAATAAACTGAATTGAATTGAGAGTGTAAACAAAAAGAAATTTAGTTTAGAACAGTTCTCTAGACAATTTCATTTTTTTAAAGTGCTACTTTGATAAGGTAAGCAACAGTGATTTAAAAAAAAAAAAAAACAACATTGTGATATTAAGTCACTATATCTAGTAATGGAATGCGCCTCATTGATGTTTGCTTGGCAGCAGTGATGTCAGATGGATCTGGATAGGATCTTAGCATCCTAACCTTAGCATTTAATCTGCTCCCGCTGTATGTAGGGCATTGTATATATGCATATGCATTATATATCAGCATCGACTTCGTTATCTGGCGACGATAGCTAGCTTTTAAGATATCGATGTTGGTGCATTCCCATATCACTGAAACATTAGCCCAGGCCCTTGTGTCAAGTGTATTTGCAGCCTCCTTTTGGTTTTGGTCAGATCCACCCTGCTATCTTTTTAAGAAACTGTAAAATGAACCTAATGGCCTGATTATTATTTTTTTTTTTTTGTTCTTTGCAGGGAGCTGCAGTTCCTCGCGGATCAGGAGCGCATCTCTCCAGCGGCCATTAAGAAAACCACCCTGGACAAAGTGTTGCAGCAGCCCGGAGTCACAGTCAGTGGAGACAGCAGTGGGAACGGCAAGTCGGGCCTCAAGCTGTTCAACAATCGCACGTCTGGCATCAAAAAAAAGAACTGAGATGAAAGAGGGTCCCACAGACAGAGACGGGTTCATGTCTAAACGTGGATTCTCATCTGTCTCAAAAAGCTGTTCAACCATAGAAGTGACAAATGGACTCAGGACTTATGCGAATTTACCAACAAATCAATTTCAAGCGTTATTTATTCCTGTGTTATGTTTGAAAAGATTCATGTCACTCAAGTGTATTCAGTTAGAGCTTCTAACTAGAAGCATCAATGCTTACATGGACAGCAGGTTTGTTGGAAGGAAACAGATGTTACCAGCCATGGTCTAGTCAGCTGTCTGTTTATGCTTCATCATGTATTGAATTTTCTTATCATCACTCCAGGCTTGAAGACTGAACAATTTTGATCCTCTTGGAATATCTGCCAAGGATTTTGTCCCCTGCAACCAAAAACAAACCCTTTCTTTCTGTTATGTATTAATAGTTTTGTCTTTCCATCTCTCTAAAATCTTTTGTTTTTTTACATTTTATCAACATTTGTAATGTAATAATTTGGAAGTGCTACAGTAAGGCTTAAATAAGTTATAAAAAGGCTGAGCACATGTATAGCACATGTACAAGTATTTTCAGCCCAATAGCTTGTTTAATAATGTTTATTATACTTCTTTACACATAAACCTGTTATGTTGCATTTATTTTCAGCATATCGGTAATTAAAATTACATGTGTTTTTGGGGGGTTTCTCGGTAATTTAGTCTTTTTTTTTTTTTTTTTTACTGATTTTATTCTACAATTTAGAATTGTTTGTATCCCATATTTTTCCAGCAAAACCGACCTATGGCCTGATGCTGCCGAAACCGTTTTTGATATCTTACAAATTTACTTAGGACTTAATAAATTCCCCTTTAAACCCTTCATTTTTAATTTCTTTGCAATTTTCCTTCATCTGAGGACCTCGGTTTGGATCAGATAGTTGGACACAACTAAATACCAAAGGGATGATCTCACTAATTATGGGAAGGATGCATCACCTTTAGGCATTGCCTCCCCAGCATCCTCACCCTGAAGCATATTCAGAAATGGATTAAAAACTGTCGACCATCTAGCCAGCTTAAATGACTTCTTATTTTGACTAGTAAAGTTAAATATTCAGCCAGAAATGCCTTAGAAGTTTCAACAGTATCCTTTTACTCAAACATAATTATGTGACAGCTTTTTCTGCTAGTTTTTATACATTTCAATCAATTTGAATCAGTGATCCACTGATCTGAAATTAGCATCTTTATCTGTCCAAATATGGAAGAATAATCTAGATCAGGGCAGATGTAATCAGTCTATATAATAAATGAAGGCTGGGTTAAGAATCTCTTGAACTTCAGCAGAAAAGTTTATACCCAGAGGCAACTTGGGTTTCCTTTGGGTATATGAATATGTTTATTAATTTTAGGGCTGCAGCTAATAACTATTTTGCAAATGTCAAATTTTTTATTTATTTTTTTATTAGTCAGGTCAAAGATTTATTAAATTTTTTTTACAGAATTAAATGAAGTGAATCTTAAACTTTTATACTTGAGTTCTGGATATAGCATAGTGATGGAAGAAAAAGTTTTATCTTAAATGCAAAATGTTTTTTTTTAGTTTTTTTTAAATACAATCTTTGTATAATTATTGCTCTAAGTATGTTGCTCTCTCAGCTAAAGACATGTTTTACAGTCTCTACACTCCAGTTAACGTTTCATCGATTACTAAACTATTACAGATCCTCTAAAACCACCCACTCTTGACCCTCCAAATGATCACTTCCTGTGACTTTTACTGACAGGAAGTCCCTGTTACTTTCAGCGGTATCAAGTAACAAAGTACAAATACTTTGTTACCTTAAGTAGAAATTTTGGCTACCTATACTTTACTGGAGTAATTATTTTTATGAAAACTTTTTACTTTTTTTTATATTATCTCTTTCTACTCCTTACTTTAAAACTCATTAGTTTTGTTTCATTGAAGCTAATTTTTATTATGGCCTGTTGGTATTAAAAATAAAAACCAAAAATAATTTATTTCATCCAGACAATTTCTTTGTGGTTAGACTGGTGCTGCACCAACTTGTTCACCACATACCAAAATAAATAGTTTTTCAAGATGATATAAAGTTAAATTTTACACAGTTACCATTGGTTATAAACTTGAAAAATTTGACTATAAAGAATGTATCATCCAGAGTTGTAGAAAAATGTTCCTTTAATCGGGTCGTGCAGTAACCGACATGATTAAATAGTTGAAGATAATACTATTAACTTTTACAAAAGTGTTTTTAAACGGGTTTTATACTTCTACTTCAGAAATATATATAAATACTTTTGACACCTCTGGTTACTCTTCACCTAAGACTTGGCAGAAATATATTTAGAAGTTTAACAATGTAAGAACAATTTGTGGATTAGAGAAAATTAATGTTAAATTCAACAGGTTGCACCCATTTCTTTTGTACTTTTATCTCACCTTGGAGAACAAAAACTTGAATGCATCATTTTATGTACAAAAAGTAAAACACATGGTCATTTTCACCATTAATCTGTAGGTTTCCAGTCTGACCACCGGATGGCGCTGTTTAATCTACTTGCATCGTATATAAAGGTCTTTGGAGATCAAATCACCGTCATACCACTGCAACTGCCAGTTGAGGGTAACTTTAACTTGACCCTAACCTTGAATTAAATATAGCCTTGCCTCCATAATTATTAGTAAACAGCTCTAACTGCATTGCTGCGACAATATGTCCCCACTCCCACTGGCCACCCCGCTCTCTGTCATGTTTTTATTTTTGCCTCCTGTGGGTCAGCACCCCATGAATTCTTTCCAGTCAAATCCCTCTCCTGCTAAAGTTAGCCTTTGTTAGTGCCTGACATAGAAAAAAGTGAAGGCGTTTTTATTTTTTAAGTCTCTTTAATAGCCCAGAGGTGAGCAGTGATTGGCTGAAAACATAGTCCAGTTTTAGAAGGCCTCAGTCAGCAGACCTCCATGACCACTGAGGGGGTTCTCCTCGGTTACAACAAACACTGGAGGATTTATCTCAGTTTTTTTGTAACTTGCATAAACAAAATCGAACAGGTTGAGTTTATATGTGTGTAGTTTAAAATAAAAATGCCTTTTTTTTTTTTTTTTGTATTGGTATAGCCACTTGGGTGAGTGAGTTCAGCGAGGTCACCACAACCACAGGGTGTAACCTTTCCATGCTCACACCAAGACTCCAGGAGTAAACCCAAAGCACACGTTTCCCTAACTGAACGCTAAGCTTTGCTTTTATTATGTGTAAAATTTAAAAAGTTTTCAGGATGACTTCTTTCTTAATTTAAAGAGAATTACATTTGAGAGAATAATAAAGACTTTTACCAAAGAATATGAAAGCCCAGTAAGGAAAGCATAAATCTGTCTCTCTGCAGTGTGTGGAAGCCTAAAACCTAAATATCATTTTGTTTTTTTTAAGAGTTTGATAATAGAGGACAAAGAGCAGCAATATTCGGGTTTAATAGTAAAGCAGCTACTGCAGACTCTGTAAAGTACTTTTTTTATTTATATATTTGGACCAGTTCCCATGCTCCAGGGATGGATTAACAGCAGTCACTTTGTGCTGGTTTGAGATAGGCTCACGAATGTATTCAGGCAATACAGGTGCATAATGGCGAATGATGAAGAGGAGCGATGGTTTGTGAAGAGCCATGTCCTCATTATAATTGGACAATTTATAGCTGTTGTAGGATTAGTTTATTTCCCCTCTTAGACTCGCACACACACACCAGCGTGTCTTGATTAAATTGGGCCCTGCATGCTCTTGGTGCAATCCGGCTGTTTATTTGTGCATGCAATAGTTTTTCTCTTTCTCTCTCTGCTGCTGAAGCGTCTTGATAATCCCCCCTCTTATTCAACACTCATCCCTGCTACTGTCCGTTAAGATTAGCCTCCGCGGAGAGACTACTATTTGCCTCTTATGATTAGACTTCTGCCACCTTTCGTTGGATGAAGTCATTGTTCTTTCTCCAGAAAGGTGAGGCAGATGCTCTCTGTCACTCATCCAGACACACAGAGAGACGGAGGTGCAGCTGCAGATAATCCTGAGCTGTGGGTTTCTACATTTGTAAGTGTGTGATTGAGCTTGGCATGAGGTTTCTATCCACAGGTAGGCCAGATGCTGCCTGTCATCTCCATTCAATCAATGCAATCAGTGACCTTTTTGCAGCAGCATTGGTTGTTTGCAGGACGCACCAGAAACAAGGGAATGGAAGGATAGGCTTGTTGTTTTTATTACAAACACAGAATCTTCCCCAACATAAAACTAAGAGTAAATAGGTGCTGGTTATTCACTGTGCTGTAAGCAGTGTGTGTGTGTGTGTGTGTGTGTGTGTGTGTGTTAGAGACCTGCGCACTGCATTGATCTTGGAGCTGATACAGTATCAGCTTTGTGCAGCTGTCGGTTGAAACGGTCGCAGGAACAGGAACCTCTGATGGTTACCACACAGTCAGTGAATCTGCATTTTGGGCTTCCCTCTGCTGCCAGCTTGCACAGCACAGACCTTTACCTCCATGCTCAAACTGTATGTGCATGTTTTTGTGCTTTTATTGCCTCTCTTAACTGTTTCATACAGTGCCTTGAAAAAGTATTCACACCCCTAGGGTTGTTTAGATTTACAGTTGCAAACTTGTTTTTTTGTTGTTTTGTTTTTATGATATTTTTATTTTATGGATTAATGCAAAGGGGTATTCAAATTGTGAAGTGGAGGGAAAATGATATAAAAATCTAAAAGGTGTGGCTTTTATTTAATGTAAGCTCATTGAAGCTCCCTTCAGAACTTCAACATCAGATGTCTGCTAGAGCAGAGGTACCCAACCTCTTATGAGGATCCATCCATTATCTGACACGCTTTATCCCGAGTGGGGTCGCGAGGGGTGCTGGTGCCTATCTCCAGCTTGTCTACAGCTGAGAGGCGGGGACCACCCTGGAAAGGTCGCCAGTCCATCGCGGGGCAACACAGAGACATACAGGACAAACAACCATTCACACCTAAGGAGAATTTAGAGAAGCCAATTAAACTAACAGTCATGTTTTTGGACTGTGAGAGGAAGCCGGAGTACCCAGAGAAAACCAACAAATGCTCAGGGAAGTCCACTATAGGCATATATGCGATGAAATATTGCCTTTGGCATTGCAGAGTATTCATTTGTAATGAGATATTAGTTGTTTTCTGGTATTTTTCCAAACCTAAGGAAAGAGACTTGTTTTCACTACACCCTCCGACCACATAGTGAAGCCTGTGTGATGGAAGAGGCAGTATCATGCTGTGGATTTGATTTATCTCCAGCAGAGAACAGAAAGATTTCCAGGGTTTAAAAATAAAAAAGAAAATCTGCAACATATGTTGAGTGAGGTTGGAAGCTTACATTTCAGTGGGAGAGCTGAATAAATTTTATCAAAGCATATTCAAGTGGATAAATGGCCTAGGTGATTCCTAGACCTAAATTTGATTCAGAATCTGTGAAAAAAAAATCAAGCAAAATGTGGTTTAAAAACAAAACAGACTATAAGGGACTGATGGCAAATGCACAATTTCTTTTTATCTTTGCAAGTTATTTAACATTTTTCTTCCACATCAAAACCATGCTATGTGTTGGTCTATAGTGTGAAATCCTAATAAAATGCATTAAAGTTTGAGGTTATAATGTGACAAACTGCAAAAAGGAGGTGTTTACACTTTGGCAAGGTACTAA